CCATCCCCGAGTTCGGCGGGTCCCTGGACTGTCCGAGAGAGGCATGGGATGAAGGGCTGCCCCTGGGGAGCGGGTCGGGAGCCTGGCTCCGGGCCCCATAGCTGGGAGCAACAGGGCCGCTGTGTGTGTTTGGGCAGGAGGAGAAGGAGGAGGAAGAGGAGGAGGAGGATGAGGAGGCGGAGGATGAGGAGGAGGAGGAGGAAGAGGAGCAGGAGGAGCAGGAGGAGGAGGAGGAGGAGGAGTTTGGCGGCTTTCGGCGGCTGTCGAAGACTCGCGCCGCCACGGCTGCAGGGGCGGCTCGGAAAAGTTGCCAGGACGGTGCCCGGAAAGGGCCCCCGTTTTGAGCGGCCTTTTGGCCAGGCATGGTGGGCTTAAGTCGGGCCTGTCAATCTACAGGATGAGTATTCAAACATAGTCACAGAATAGTATGGGGACGATTTTTGATTTTTTTGTTTTTTGCAATTTGGGGGTATTTGTTTGTGATATGTTTAACTTTTCACCTAAAGCCCCCCTGTAAGGGGGGCATGCCCGACCTAATGGTGGGCTCGATGTCTGGGCGCCTTGGAAAAGCGACGGCGGCCGTCTCCGCCCTGGTCTCGGGCCCCAGCGCCCCCCCCCGGATCGGCCCGGCTGGGGAGCAGTGGCGCGTGAAGGTAAGGTCGACCGAGCATTTTCTTGGGGTGGAGGGCAAAGGGTGAACTCCGAAATGTCGTTTCGATTGATCTTCGAGGTTCGAATGTGCAAAAGGTGAATCACAAGACGGATTGATTTTCGAGGTGCAAAAACCCATATGGATTTCACCCTGAGCCCTCCACCCTAAGAAAATGCTCAGGTCGAGAGCGACAGCCGTGATTCGAACGAAACGCGGATTTCTTGGATCTGCGCGGGTTTCCCTTGGCGGCGCGCCCGGCGGGGGGAAGTCAGAGGGGGTAGGCCTTTTCAGAAGGCAGTTGGGGCTTCTCAGACGCCCTCGCGCCTTCTGAGAGGTTCTTTCTGTCTTCGGAGGGGGCTCAGGGGACTACTCGGAAGGCGCGGGGGGTTCTGAGAAACCCCGCCGCCTCCTGAGGAGGCCCGTCCCCTCTGAATCCCCCCCCCCCTCTTGGGCGCGCCGCCGATCTCCTCCTCTCGGGCGTTGCGTGATGAGGTAGCGTTGAAGGGGGAAGGACAAGAGAGAGGTGTACCTCTTGTGCCTTGAAGGGGCCCCCAGGGGGGGGACACCCTGGGGCCCACAAGGGGCACGGAAGGTGTCCGCTCCGCTCCCCTCCGTGTACCGCACCTTTTGAAGCATCGCCGCCCTATCCTCAATCGTTCCGCAAAGGGGCCCCATAGGAAAGGTATACGTTCCCCTCCCTATTTTATCGCCCCCCATTACGGTTGAGGCGTTTGTTGAGGAATGTGCCCAGGAGGCTTCAGACCCTGGAGGATTCATTATCTGATGAGGGCGGCGGTGATATCCGTGGCCAAGCCTCAGTGGGTGTTACACCGGTCTCCTGTCCCTGGATTCCTTATCTGCGGGTTCCCTATCCAATGCTCTCACAGTAAGCAAAGCCGATCCTCAATCGATCCATGCCGTCGTGGTGCTGGCCGTGGCGTCGGGCTCCCAGGCCCTCGCCCTCGGCGGACATCTTGGAGTCTTGTTGGGGCGTCTTGTGGGCGCCTCTTTGGGGCGCTCTTAGGCCGTCTTGGGGCCCTCTTGGAGGCCCCTTTGGCTGTTTTAGGGTGGTTCTGGGAGCCTCTTGGAACGTCCAGAATCTTTCAAACACGTAAGGGCAATCAGTGACTTCGGCCTCTTGGGGCTGCATGGAGGGCCTCCTGGAGGTCTCTTGGGGCGTCTCGGAGGCCTCGTGGGGCCGCCGTGGGGCCCTCCGTGGCGTCCTGCGCCGATCTCTCTGGGCGTCTCGGGGCCCCCGTGGGCCGCCTTGGAGGCCTCGCGGGGGCGGCGGGGGAGGCCCTCGGGGCGCGGGGGCGGGCCACGCGCAGCGGGGGGGGGGCGGGCGAGAGGGGGAGGGGGGGAAGGCTCCGTGGAAGGAGGCCGCTTTCAAGGGGCCTGTCCCTCTACAGGAGGAAAATTCCCAAATAGTCCAAACATCTGATGGGGACGATTTTTGTTGACTAGGTTTGGCTGGTTTGGAGCATCTCTCGACTATGTTTTATTGTTTGTCGTCCAGAATCCCGCTGTAGGAGGACGTGCCCGATCTAAAGCTACTTCTAAGAAGGCGCGGGCCTTGAGCTACAGATGTAAGGCCGGGTGCTCCTTGGAAGGTATGGGGCCTTGTCAGAAGGGCCTGGAGAAGGAGGCTTCTCGTAGAAGGGTATGGGGCCTTGGTAGGAAGGGTATAGGGCCTTGGTAGGAAGGCTTCTCGTAGAAGCCGGGAGCGCTTCTCAGAAGGTCCCTGTATTCTCAGAAGCTCCCCAGTCTTCTACGAAGGTCGTCCCCCTTCGCGCTACCCCCATTTGTGCGCGCCGCCAAGTCTGCTTGTCTCCTTCCCCTCCTGTCGAGGAGAAGGACGGCCAGTTCGTGGCCCAGTTCAAGTTCACCCTGCTCCTGCTGCCAGGCGGCACGAAGAAGATCACGGGGCTGGCCCTGGGGGAGAAGAATGTGGCCTCTCAGCTTTCGGTCCAAGACGAGGATCTGAAGAAGCTGCTGGCGTCATCCGCGAACCCCAAGAAGCAGAAGAAGAAGAAGGCGGCCGGCGGCAAGGCCCCTGGCCGCCCGGCCAGCTCCGACCCCGGCAGCCATCGCTATAGTGCGCGCCCACATCCGCCGCCCTGGAGGCGTGCCCCGAGACCTCTCGAGCAGCGGCGGACGTCACGCAGCACCCCGCAGAGTGGCAAGTAAGAGCGATGGGGGCGGGGTCGCGGGTGGGTCTCGGGGTGGGCCCCCAGACATGCGACGTGCTGATTTTTTCAAGACGGCGTCCCCAGAAGTCCAGTCGCCTTCCCCGGGGCCGGTTTTTCATCCTGAGTCCCTTTTTGGCTGGCCCAAGGCCCAGCGAGGGCCCCCCGAGGCCGAAATTGGCCAAAAACCTCCCGTCCTGATTTTTTGTTACGACGCGATCATGTCTGGGTCGCGGGTGGGTCGCGGGGTGTGGCCACGTCTGCCCCGCCGGAGTGGACGGGCAGACAGCCACGGCCGTCGCTCCCCGAGGGGCCCCGGGGACCTCGGCCCCGCGGCAGCGGATGTGCGGGCATGCTCCGGCGGCGCACGGCAGGGGGAGGACGCAGAGTGGGGAGGAGGAGGAGGAGGAGGAGGAGGAGGAGGAGGAGGAGGAGGAGGAGGAGGAGGAGGAGGAGGAGGAGGAGGGGAAGGGCCAGGAACAGCAGCGTTTACGCTCGGGTTCGAGATCGAGCTCGGCAGGGATGGACGCAGTTTCCGCAAGACTGTTCGGTATCCCAAACCCGCTTTCTCCCTCGGTGTAGCATGTCGCCTCGGCCCCGACAACGAGAGCTCGAGGGTCGCGGTAACAAACAGTTGCTCGTTATCCCTTTCCACCTCGTGCTGTCCAGAGTTGGGATTGTTGATCTGATGAATGAGAGTTGGGACCGGTGCAACGACCGGAGCATTTTTCAGAACAGCCTTGCATTCGAGGTGCAGTGGAAGAGCTCGCGACCGAACATGGCTCAGTCGATCGGGCAGCGACAACAGCTGTGTACCAGACAGGCCGCTCACGGGCCCCCAAGGCGACGCCTGCAGCCCAAATGTGCACTCTAACACAAGAGATCCCGGCAAAATCGAGCACTGCTTCCGTGGAAGCAGGCTGCAGGCGCCCGTGGCAGTTGTTCTGTCGCGTGCCACGCTCTCGGCCACACGCATACTGTAGGCGACCGCCAAGCTCGGAACAACTAGCAGCAGAGTGGGACGCAGCCACGGGCTCCTCCTCCTCCTCCCCTTCCTCCTCCTCCTCCTCCTCCTCCTCCTCCTCCTCCTCCTTCCTCCTCCTCCTCCTCCTCCCTCCTCCTCCCTCCTCCTCTCCCCTCTCCCTCCTCATCCCTCCTCCTCCCTCCTCCTCCCTCCTCCCTCCCGCCTCCTCCTCCTCCTCCTCCTCCTCCTCCTCCTCCTCCCGCTCCTCCTCCTCCTCCTCCGCCTCCTCCTCATGCAGCAACAGCAGCGGCTCAGGCGTGAGTTTTAAGCCGAGTTTGACAAGAAATGTGTTCAGGAGGAGCGGCCAGATCCGGGGGTGGTTGGCGGAGACAGTGGGGGCGGTCGGGGCAAGGTAGGGGTGTCGGTGGATTGGGGGAGAGTAGGATTCAATCCCGTGCTGTTTTCTCATTCTCTTGTGTTGGAGTTGATTTGGCATAGTGGTGCTCGGTTGAGTCGTTGATGTGCTCCTGGGGAATCTCTCCACCGTGCGCAACCTTCTGCTTGTTCCGTGCAGCACGGCGCACAGCACGCTCCAGGGACTGCGGCCTCCTCCACCCGGTCGTGTAGCTAGGCTCGGACGCCTGTATGCGCACTTGTGGTCGCTCGCTCGCGTCCCTCCCGGTCCCGAGGACGAGGAGAAGGCGGACGCCTGACCAGCGGGCGCGGGGGCGGGCGCGCCGACTCTTTAAAAGCCAGGCGTCGGCACACTTACTGTGCCACCCCCTCGGGCATCGCTTCAGTGGGGCCGAGAGTCAGAGGGCTCCTTTCTCTGCAGGGCCACCAAAAAAGGGACGTGAAGGTGGTTCAACGCCTTGCCGATTAAGCCGACGAAGATGTGCAAAGTCCAACCTTTCGTTCATGTCCAAAGTTTTGGCTTGACGCCCCTTGTGGCACACCCTTTGCAACCTGACCGAACAGGTTGATTGCGCCCCTTGACGTCCGTTTGGGGTGTTCTGCAGATTTGGGGTGTTCTGCAGACCTGACCCCCGAGCCCTACTCAAGGCGTCGCATTTCAATTCTTGCTGTGAGCTGCTGCGCGGGCATCGCCTGCGGCGCGCCAAGGAGAGGGCAGGGCAACCGTTTCCGGAGCTGTGTGGCCCTCGGACCCCCCCTCCCCCCTCGTCGCCTCCTGAGATCCGACGCTGCGAGACAGCGGAAACATCGTAGAGAATCTTGACCGGACGGAACCCTGGACCCTATCTTTCTGCTCGGGCGGGTGGTAATGGGGGGTGACCTAAAGTGGGGGGTGAAGACAAGGGCCCCAAAGGGGCACTCTGGGGCCCCTTGAAGGCCCCTGCTGGCTCCAAAAGGGGCCCCAAAGTGCCCCTTTGGGGCCCTTGTCTTCAATGCAGCTGCAGCTGTTTCTCGCGTCACCCCAACATACTTCTACTATGTGTGCGTCGCCCCCCCATGGGCGACGCGCGCACCGAGAAATTTTATAGTATATGCATCATGGCGGGCGCTTTCTGGCCGTACCGCTCGGGAAACGATATACAACAAGATGGATATATTGGTTATATTTTCGTGTCGGACCCGCACCTCCAAGGAGGACATATAGTATTAGTATGTTTCTGTGCGTCCCAGTTTCCGTGGGGACGTACAAGGGTCTTGCTCCGTCTCGGTGGGCTTGCCTCTCGCTCTGCTAGCTGCCCGCCGCCTTCGTCCAGTGATGCGCGGGCCCGTGCTGACAGGAGACGCTCATCACACTCGCCAGACCAGATCTCCCCCGTTCAGCCACGCGCATAGTGGGATGGGGGGAGGGGGGGGCTTCTTAGAAGCACCCCTGCTTCTTACAAGGCGCCGGCCTTGTCCATAGATGTAAGGCCAGCGCCTTCTAAGAAACAGCCTCCTTCTAAGAGGCCCCCCCCCCCTCCCTGCACCCCCTTGTTCGGGTTGACCCAAAAGGGGGTCCAGTGTCAAGGGGGTGGTGCAATAGATTTGGTGCAATAGACTTGTGGGGTTGCAATACATTCGGGGCGTGCAATACATTCCGTGGCGCAAGCGTATTGCTGGATTTTCGCGTGCAATACATGTTTTGCCATACAATGCAGTACAGTTCTCCGGCGCAATACATTTGCAATCCAATTGCCCCAAATCTATTGCGCCACCCCCTTTCAGCTGCACCCCCTTTTGGGTCACCCCGACTTGTGCGCACCGCCAGCACGTGGCCCCCTGACCTGGATGTTTGAGACGGTCTCGAATGTGTTATGATAAAACGTGTGGTTCTTGCTTCAAGAAGATGTCACACTGCCGCACGGTTTGATGCAGGCATGCATGCATGTATGTTTGTTGCGCCATCCGTAGCCGCCGAGGTTCGAATCTAAAAGTCATCAGACATGTTTTCGAGCCAGGCAAAAGAACTCAATTGCGCAGTCACAGCTTGAGAGTTCTTTGGTTTCATCGTGCCTCGTCGAGAGCCTCCTGCGAACGCCAGATTCGTCCCGATCGCCCGCCTCTGGCCCGACATCTACGCTAAAGGGCCCCGACATCAGGCGTCCCGAACACAACAGGGTGCGGCCTACGTGCCCCGGGTTCGGGATTTGCGGGCCCGTCTTGGGCCCTCGGTCGGAGGAGGGACCGGGCTCGTGTTCGCCTCTTGGGGCCTCCTGGGAGGCCCTCGTCACGACGGCTGGATTCGCTTCGATTCTCTGGTCAGAACGCACCGCGGGAGAGGTCGGGGAGTAGCGGTATCGGTACCTTCGGTCTCCACGAGCGGGGGGCAAGCAGCAGCAGCCCAGGGCGCGAAGGCCGCGCGACTAGTGGATTTTCACGAGTCCTGGAGCCCTGCGCGCCGGGCCAAACTCGACGAGGGGGGTTTGGGCTCGTCCGTGGATCGTGGAGGCGAAGGCGTGCCGCGGGGAGGGCAGCGACAGCCACGCACACGACCGCTGGGGGGCGCGGTGCGGCGGAGCGGGGCACGAGCAGACATGCAGTCTGCTGTTAACCCCTCCTCGAGTGGGGCCTCTCCCTCTTCCCCCTTTTGCTCCCTCTCCTCCGCACAGCTCGCAACTTTGTGAATGACCCCCCCTGTAGTTTTCTTTGGGTCCCTGGCGGCAGGAAGCATGCTTCAGCGCGCTTGGAACTGCCAACTGATACAGTTGGCTTGGCTTGAAGCACATATAGAGCATACTGTTTCACAAAGTACAATTGCGGAACTTATGTGTGCAAGTTGATGTGTGATTTGTAAGAATTGTATAAAAAATAAACGTAAGTTATTTAAGTTCCATAAGTTCGGGGCCGCGTGTTTCTTGCTTTCCAGGGCGCGCATGTTTTGTTTGGAGTGGTGCAGGTTGAAGAGATGTCGCGCACCCCGTGTACATTGCAAGCTATACAGAAGCACCGTGCGCCATGAGGGTATATCGGTTCGCGGGCCACGAGACATTTCTAAATCGTCGCACGTTCATCAGCACCTGCACAATTTGAACAACTATTCAGCACACGTTGTCCCCGACATTCTGGCTCAGACGTGCAAGTGCGTCCTCGTTTCAATACACCACGCGCATGTTCTCTTCGATATAAGAGCCAGCGCTGGTGCACGAACTGATTCCTGAATGGGGTCGGTGGCCCCACCAGTGGGGGCCACAGTTCGTCGGCACGCCCGAGTTGCAGTCTGAGGGGTGCGAGCCTAACAATCAGGTCCGGACGTTGCCCATGCGCACTGACGTGCGGCAGTGTGCGGGCATCAAGATAGTGCAGTCTTCAAGCACGCGGGAATCAACATCAGCCAGCACCTATGGCGAGACCCATGCAGTTCGGCAAGATGCAGATGAAGAGCACCAACAGCATCCGCCACACGATCATCCAGTTCGGCAAGATGCAGACCTAGAGCACCGCCAGTATCCGCCAGAGGATCATGGACATCGAAAATTCACCACCACACCACCATCGAAAACATCGTGGTCGGCACCAAGATCACCACCGAAGAGCACCATGGACAGGCCACCGACAAGCCGAATGCCGCAGGGCGCCCAAACATG